CGCCATAGGGTGCGTTATTGTAAATGAACTCGCGGTGCAGACGAGACCCATTAAAGTCAGTTTGTTATGGAGCGTTGTTTAACTGAGTGTTCTCATTAAAAATGGTCTCCAGCCAACAGAATAAGCACTTTCTTATAGCTTACATGGTGCAAACGGGGACGTGGGGACTGTACGTGTGTGTGGAGGTTTAACTGGTGGTCTGTGCAACATCATCAGCCTCTCAGGTCGTCCATAAAAACGGGCATTTGAGTTTACTACACACACACACTCTCGTCTGCTCCATATGCAGTCATCCTTCACTATCAAACCTCCACAGAACTTATGCCTTTACCCTCCACCAACATCTGCAAGCAATCGCCTGAAAAGCTCCAGACTGACCCTGGATCCCCCTCTTTCATTCCCTCCCCGCCCCTCGACTCCCTCCATTATTATTTCCCGCAGCGCTCTTCTGCTCGCTCACCTTCCGAACACCAATTTCAAATTCAGATCTTGTACCGAGCGCGTCTTTCCTTTTCCCTCAGATCCAGCAGTGGGAGCAGAACCTGGAGAGATTCAACCTGGATCTCTTCAGGATGCGCTGCTACCTCGCAAGTCTGCAGGGCGGGGAGCTGCCCAACCCGAAGAGCCTGCTCGCCATCGCCGGCCGCCCCACCAAAACCACCCTGGGACGCCTGGGGATTTTCTCCGTCTCCTCCTTTCATGCGCTGGTAAGGAATACGTAAAGAGGCGACTCTGACGCTTCTGAATGGGACGTTTTGATTTCCTTGATGTCTAGCAGTAACCTTGAAAACTCTTTATTCAGTTTAGTATAAAGCAGTGTGCAAACGCTCGCTTTGTGCATCACGGGAGGAAAATGAACTTAATTAAGATGGTTTGATTAGATGGAATTTCTGTTGAGAAATGTGATGGTAGTGCTGATAAAGTGTATCTGCTCAGATCTGTTCCAGAGACGAAGCCACGGTCAGGAGGCGCTCCCTGTCCCTGACTCACAGGCAGCGCAAACGAGGCCTGTTCTCCTCCCTGAAAGGCCTCGACAACCTCACGAGGAGAGGCCGTGACAAGAGACCTTCTGTCTCACAGGTATTCACGAACACACAGACA